GTCCCAAGCCAGCTCTTAACCAACGCGCCACTCGGCCGGCCCCCAGTAATTATTTCTTGAACATCCACTTTCACATAGTACGTGCAAAATGGAAAATTACATGTAAAAAAAAGCTTTAGATGTAAGGTTTCACATAACAAGTATCAAATACCATTAAGTCTAGGCCAAAGTTAAGTTAATTAGCTTAAAGACAAAAATCACCTGCCCCGCAGAGCCAAGAAACTGGAGGAAGTTTGAGGAAACTTCAAACTTATGAATCAAACAGATTCCTTTAGTAGAAACCAAACGTGATCATTTCACGCATCAATAAATAAATAACTAAAAACATTTTTTCACCTAAGAAATGTCTTATTTTCTATTCTACATATACAGTTTAAAATCCATATTTAAGGAAAGAGTGAAAAAAATAATTTTTATTTGTACTAGTCAGATAAAGTGGTTTTCAGTATGACTTTAAGTGGTCTTTTCCCTCATAACAGGGATGACATGGAGTGCAGAGTGTCAGTGACGAGTGGTGGGAAATGGGGCTTGGTGGGGCAGCATCATTAGGTCTATACTTTAAGTTAAAGGCAGCATTTATATATATACTTTTGGATGTTCATTTCTGTCAAAAAAAGAGTGGGAAAACAAAACACTGTACAGATATCCCAGGAGTGCAAATCCAGGCTCCAACAGTGAGTGGCTTTCTCAGAATTACTTCACTTTCCTAAGCCTCAGTTTTCTAATCCATAAAATGGATTTACATGATCGCCTTTTTTTTTATACCAATAATTTCCTCTTAAATTATAATGTATTTGGGTCGGCCAAGTGGAGTGTTCACCCGTTAATAGTTGGCTTGGGATGCCAGCTCTGAGCAGCAAGGCCCTGGTTCGGATCCCACATGAGGGCCAGTGACACAGCACCCTTTACAGCTAAGATGGTGAACAACAGCTCGACCTGGAGCTGGGCTGCCGTGAATTGCCGGCAACGGCGTAGGCCGCAGTGGGGCTGCAGTGGCTGCCATAAGCTACCGTGAGTGGCTGACAGCCGGCGTGAGCTGTTGTGAGCCACTGTGAGCGGCCGTCCTCAGGCCGGCAACCGACCTGCCTCACCTGAGAAGAGCACAATAATACCAACATGGGCCAGTGAAGCAACGTCCTCCACAACTAGACTGAAGAACAAAAGGACAGCAACTTGTCTGTTCCCCTTCCCTGATTCCCCAGAGCTGTTCCCTCCCCCAATTCCCCAATAAAATCTTTAATAAAAGAAGAAAAGAAAAAGGCTTTCATTAATTAAATGTTGACTATATGCTAGATATTGTGTTAAGCACTTTACATTCATCATGTCATTTAATCTTCATTTATTACAGTAAGCATTGTTAGTTAATTTCAAAGCCTGTGTTCTTAACTATAGCGCTCAATGACTTTGTCATTAATTTGGTTTTATTGTCAGCAACAACTTAAGTGAAGAATGTATTAATAAAATTTAAAAAGCAATTCATGGGGGTTATCCTAGTAGAAATTTTTAGATATAACTTTCTGGGCATTTTTAAAAACTACATAAGAATACACGGAAAGATGGTTAATATTAGGACAACCCAAAAGAAGACAGAGTAAAAACTGAGAAGCTGATTTTTCCTGGCCACTTTTGGCTGGCCTTCCCTAGCTATCAAGCAGAGCCAGCCACAGCAGTGCAAACCCATGGAAAGGTAAATTTATTAAGTATACATCTCAAGATGCATACAACCAAAAGGGAAATAATATTTGGATAGCACATGGTGGTCTGTGAATGGAGCTGTACTAAATGAAAGAGCAAATGAACACCAGTAAGTCTTCCTCCCACTGCTCTTCTCTGTCTCCTCCAGCTCGTTACCTGACCTAAATATCAGGGGAAAGAACTTCCTTACCTGGGCTAAGTGAATCAATGAGCTTTTCACGCCCATCTGCCCGGCGTTCTCTGTTACAAATACAGACACGAGGAAGTACTCCTCTGTCCAGTTCCTTTTGCCTATATTTAGGACCACATCCTTTTCTACCCTGCATTACCCCTTTTCTGTTTTCACCCTGTCTCAGGAACATTTAATCTTTCCCTCTCAATTAGCTCCTCCTTATTAATCTTTATAAATGCTTAGATCTTTTCCCCAGCTCTACTGTGTTGTTTCTCCTCCTTCATAACTAAACTGCTTGAAATAATTGGCTCTGCTTGTTTCTATTTCTTCATCTTTGGTAAGAACGGTGAAGGGGCTGACATTTTATCCGACCTGCAAGTTAACAAGTTAGTTGGCCTGCCACAGTTTCATGGATGCTGGCAGAAGACACGAGGCTCCTGGGTCACAGATGAAGGACTCTGTTTCTCAGGCCACAGGAAACATTCATTAATTTCAAAAGCCCTAACATTTATCAATTATTTTTTATGTGCTGGGCAGTGTTTTAAGTACTTTGTTATACAAAACATAAAGGAAACTGAGAAAGAGAGATTACATAATTTAGTCACAAACACCTAGTAACTGGTGGGATAAAGGCACACGTCATTCTGCGCTGAAGCCCACGTTCTAAAACCCTACACTGTCCACTTCCTTAGAAATCTAAAATCAGTCTTGTAATCATTCACATACTATTTGTTTTACTATGTTATCTTTTAATAGCAGTTCAGTTATACTTGTCTGGATTCATTTATATTCTGCAAAAATAATATTTAAAAATAGTTTTGTGGTGTTTACCTTTGCCGCACTGCACAGGATAGCACCTGGTCTCAACTGTGATATAATTTGACCATGATTTAAAATTTTTCTTTTTAAAAATATAAAAACCAAACCAACCGTTAATTCTTAATCCACCACTGTTCTCCAGGAGTAAAGAAAAGCAACATAAGTTGGCATAAAGACTAAACACACAGAGCAGTTCAGAGGCAGATTTTTTTGTTTCATTTTTCTAATTATATCCAGTTAAGACAGAGAAATGTATCTTACTTGGACAGAAAATTACCACCTTTACCCCCCTGAAATTTTCTTGCCTTCGTAGTAAGAACAAGGAACTTCTAACATAGTAGAATGGGCTCCAATGATCATGGAAAGGCTACCTTTATAAATAACAGAATTTAGACTGAATATAATAATTATGGAGGGACAAACACAAGAGGAAGAACAATGATGACGACAAGTTGAAAGTCAGTTTCAGAGGGATGTTAGATGCCACCCCACTTAACCTCTCAAAAGACCTTTTTTGAAAAAAGATCTTGTTACTTTCTTTTAAAAAGGTAAGAGTCTCACATTTGAAATGCACTCTGTGCTAACTACATGAAAATGGATATTAAGGGGGAATGATTTGGAACAATAAATTGAGTAACAGATGGACAGTTATTGAGAGGTGACTGAAAGAATTTGAGTTTGGAAGGGGTACCAACAACTCTGAGACCTGAATGTATAACAAGGCAGCTGACCACAATTTCACCCACACCAAGCAAGGGGTGGGGAGAACTGTGACTCTGAATTCATAGCTGAAATGGTAAACTGTGGGTTCTAAACTGCAACGATAAAGTAAAAGCCAAAAGGGCTAAAATTTTAGGATAGTAGTTTTAAATTTGTACTTAGGCCAAGGAACTATGAAAGTTTGAAAATTCTATTTATTTATGCTATTAGATATCTTTTCCATATTATATTTGAAGAGTTAAAGATGAGCATGGCTGCTATGTCTAACAGAACTATGCGAATATGTGAATCACCCTTGTTAGAATTCAGTTGCCTTTAAAATTAACTTTTACCATTAAGTTCTTACTACGATCTGTAATGGGATTTGGTCTTGGAAAAGGTTAACAGTACTTATGAGTCTGACAATTTTTCAAAAGGCTAGACAAATGCCACTCACTTGACAGTTAGGAGTTGTTGGTTGTGTTCTGTACAACCACAGCTTCTCGCCGCACACACTGCGCTTTCACTGAAATCCAGTGTCGTGGCTCATCTATTTCTTTGCAGTTCTGAAATAACCGCTGTAGTGTAATTCTATTAAATGCAATGCCTGATAAGTTATCCGTCAACCATTTTAATTAAAAAAGTGTAGTTGGTTTTCATTATTTATGACACTAAAGAATCTGTAGGAATTTAGTTTTGCAGATAAAGAAAAATGTATGTGTGTTTATGACATTTCTTATGGAAGAAACTCTTTGAAAACAGTATATCTACGTAAAGCCACCTTATTTTATAACACAGCACACTGGCTGTTTTAATTTTAGGGGAATGGTGATATAGCAAAAGTGAGTACAAGTTTTCTGCCTACTGTAAAAAAGTGCATAGTTACATTCTAAAGGTAGGATCCACTGCTCTCAGCATGTTTTGCGTTTTATGCAGGATGTGTTCTACCCAGTGCATGGCAAGCCTGCAAAGATCTGACTGGTTTGCAAGACTGACAGCTGCTTACTTCCAGGAAACCACACTGGTTCTTGGTGTGTCACGTCCTCCCAGAGCAACACTAATCTTTGATCACTGATCTCCAACGACAATAATTCACAGTCCTTGAATTACAGAACAGTCTGGCTTGTGACATAAACCCTTCAGTTAATTTAGCTCAAATCAATAACTAATAATTGCATACCTATCACGAGCAAGCTAAGTG